AAGGGAAGGAAGGGGAAGAAGGGGAGGAAGAAGGGAAAGAAGGGGGGGAAGGGGAGGGGAGGGTGGAGCAACAACGCATATGTGTTACGTTCAGGGGAATACGGGGAGTGCTAACATGCAAGTGAGCAGCACCCCCAGGTAATTCACAGTCATTTTTCACTGATCTGATTGCATCTGGATTCAATCTCAGGTCTGCATTTCAACATTTCATGGGTATATCAACTGAGCTAGGCCAGTTGGTAAGGAGTCTACTAAGGACTCAATTCATGACCCACGCGAACTTCCAATTAGCATGCATGAATAGACCAAACCGAGAGCAGAGTCGCAAAGGACAAGGCCGCACCAATACAAGAACCCCCATCACACTGAAGTCTCTCTAGGTATGAGAACCCTCTTCTGGCCTCCATCAAACCAATACGACAACGGAGTAGTAGTTCCCGACTCCCGACTAAAGTAAGACTCGCGCTAGACTACTGTCTAGCTTAGCCTAGCCTATATAATCTCATCTACCCTGCCGCTGAGCTCTGTCCATTGCTGCCGACGACTGCTTGACGAGACTGACCCAGCTCGGAGCTCTCCCTGCCGATCACCAGGTGTCCGTCGACGTATTCCACGAATTCTCCCGCCATCTGAAAAACCACCTCTGAGCAACCGTCACCCCTTCTAATCACAGTGCCCGACTTGCCTTTTCAACACCTACCACTCTCGCACTCGCGGCTGCACGATCCTCCCCTTCCTACTGCTCACTTGCTTTGAGCCTAGAACTGTAGCAACCTGTCACCGACCGGCCTTACTGAATACCCCCTTGACTTGCATGGCCTTCCCTTATATACAGTGGCCTGGTCTTCCTTTGACTGGTAGGTACTGACCAACAGAAGTTTAACGATTCAGCCGAAAAAAAATCTACTAGTCCCAGACAGTGTTACCGGGTACCCAGCTGGGCCTATTGGGCCTTATGCCTCATGCACCCAGGACCCGGAGCCTACCGGCCCTGTACTGCCTGCTGCGCATCCAAGAGGCCTCGCAAAATTATGTTTCTACACTCAATTCTAATTGCCAATAGGTTCGTGCTAATATATTTACATATGCTTTTAAATGATAATGCTAACATGATTGCTAATGCTAATATGTTAAGGCTATATCATCTTATGTGTCAACAATTTACATGCACGATGCATCAGCAAAAAACATATAAGCAGTAGCAATAGCATGTTATGCAGTAGCAATAGCATGTTATGCAGTCGCAATAGCATGTTATGCAGTAGCAATAGGATGTTATGCAGTAGCAATAGCATATTATGCAGTAGCAATAGCATGTCATGCAGTAGCAAAAGGATGACACTTCATAATATGTTTGTGCCAATGCATGTGTCAATTACACACATGCATGATGCATCACCCAAAGAAAAAGGGAAGGAGGACACACAACAATATGCGTCGGCCCTGCATTGGCAGAATGAACTCGAGAATATCTGATCACTTTCTGATCAATATTTCCTTACTGTTTCGTTTGCATTTTTCAGAAGAAAAAGATTTCCAATTTCCAATTACTTTTTCCATTTTAATACCATCAATTCTATCAATGGATTGCCTCTCTTTTATTTCTTCCAGCTTTACGCCTTGCGGACTTGTCAATTTCTTCTTTTTGCCTTTCTTTTTCCCGTTCGTCCTCCATCAGATTGCCAGACAACCATCCTCAAACCTTTTTCAATGCCATCCAGTGTCACCACAACTATTCATTGGCATCACCTACCGCACACATATGTATGCTCTCTCTCTCTCTCTCTCTCTCTCTCTCTCTCTCTCTCTCTCTCTCTCTCTCTCTCTCTCTCTCTCTCTCTCTCTCTCTCTCTCTCTCCAAACGACCACCAAACACGAACATCAGTGCAGCATGGACATTGGCGCTTCAGAGCCTACCTTGCTGGATCAACACGCCCATAGGCATTTTCCATCAGGCCAGCTTCCACAAGAGCTGCCACTCGAATCACCTTTTTCTCTCTCGCTGAGCAGCAGCAGCTCCACCATTGACTAGCTCTTGCTTCACCCTCCTGATCCTCACCTCCAAACAGCACCAAAGTTTGCTTCATGGCACTCGTCATTGGTGTCACCAAGGACGGAGATGAGTCCGTCAGAACTCGCTGATGCATCATAAGTGTCCTTGCTATCCACCAGGAAGTTGTATAAGGTCCACAAAACCTCCTCTTCCCAGCACCAGTCCCTTCACTCACTGAGCCACCAACACCTGCTGTCAAACCGGTGGTTGTATGTTCCTCCTGGAGTAGCAGTGCCCTAGCCAATAAGAGATACTACACGCCACAGTCAACCACACGGTTGTTACCAATAGTCCGACAAAGATAGACAGATGAACTATCCATTTTTGGAACAGAAAATCACTCATTGTATTTGGATTATACATGGAAAAATGGAGTTAAACGACAGACTGATCAACCGCCTGATCGACAGACAGACAGACAGACAGACAGACAGACAGACAGACAGACAGACAGACAGACAGGCAGACAGACATATCATCAGACGGGCAGATGGATATACGAACAGACAGATGAAACGACGAACAGACAGATAGACAAGCAGACAGACGAACAGACGGACGAACTAACCTGAGTGACCAACCAACAGACCAAATGACCACTCAACCGAGAGAGAAAGAGACAAAGAGAGGACATATACAGAGACAGAGACCGAGACAGAGACCGAGACAGAGACCGAGACCGAGACCGAGACAGAGACAGAGACAGAGACAGAGACAGAGACAGAGACAGAGACAGAGACACAGAGACAGAGACACAGAGACAGAGACAGAGACAGAGACAGAGACAAAAGTGACTCCGTTTCGCCAGAACTGAGATGGGGAGAGAGATGGGGTGAAGAGAAAAGAGAGAGGGAAAGGAAGAGAGGAGAACGAGGAAGGAAGGACTGAGAGAATATCAGTACTCTTTTTCTCTTTGGAGGGGAATAGGAAAGAAGACTGGCTACCACATAGAGCAATTATAATCATTTCTGCCAGCTCATTGACTTCACTCCTGTCAAATGAACACAGCTTTCCAACAAAGAAAAAGCACCAGAGTAAACAGGACGGGCGCATTTATCTGCGGCAAAGATCAGCTTCCTAAGAAAGGCAACAACATTTGATAGCAGTATCATTTTATTATATAGGGTTCAGCCTCCTGACGAGTCAGTGAAACTCTGACGGAAACAGTTTGTCACAGCCCCTCGTTTGTTGTCTTCTTCTCCCTCTCTGCCTACGGTTCACCGGGCAGTTTCTTTATCGTCTATTGGGATGACAGACTCTATTACACAAATTTGTACAGCGTCGTCAGCTATGTTTTCCATTTCCATGTTTTCACATTCCAAGGCTTTCTCTTCACTCCTTCCCATGAAATATAGACGTCCAAGCTTTCACACCTTTCACAGGTTTACCGTTCCCATAACTGATGAGGGGTGCCTTCCACAGTTCCACTACACAACTGATGAAGGATTTTTTCCCATTACAGGATTGCATGTTTTGAATTGTTTTCCCATTACATAATTCATGAAAGGCTTTTCTTTTTTAATTTTATTTTAATGCAGCTGGATACGAACTTGACTCTGTATTTCAACAGTTCGTGGCTGTACCAACCGGGCTAGGAGGTTTTTTTCCCAAGCTGTCGCATTACACAATCGATAAAGGGTTTTTTCCCATGACACCATTGGCTCTTTTTCTACTCCACAGCTGATGAACGCGCCCCCCCCCCCTCCTCTCTTTAGAAAAAAAAAAAAAAAAATTGGTGTCATTCATCTAGTTCCATCGTCTGGATTCAAACTTAGGTCTGTATTTCGACAGTTCATGGGTGTATCAACTGAGCTAGGCGCGTTGATGTTTTGTTTTCCCCATTTTTATTAGCAAGCGGATGAATTTCGCTCACCTGCGGAAGACGGATCTTGCCGAGCAAATCGGCACCGTCCATCATTAACTCCTTCCTGGCCCACTTGTCTGCCACTGCCTCTGCTGACCTGCTGGCATTATCTCCTGACGATTGACTTGCTGGGTCTCCAGTAGATGTGATTCTTCCTTCGTCTTCTTCTTCTTCTTGACAATCTCTCTTGCATGCCACTGGGGTTGCAGTTGCAGCGAAAAGTGACATGATGATATTCGGATCGACTACCGAAAGTGCACTTTGCGGCCTGCGAAATCGTTTTCAACGGCAGACAGACACAAGCTCAGAATACCCCGCACATGAGGGTCAATTGCTACACACACATCTAGCTTTTAGTCAACAGATCATGAGTATGAATCTTGATAGAATCGGACGGATAACATGTTCATCAACTTCTGAGAGAGTGCATTTGTGCTGAGGCCTGCAGTATGGGATTGAAGTTCGAACAGCAATCAAACACAACCGGCAGGTGCGGACCAGCCGACCAGTTGGCATACTCACGCTACCGTCTTCACCCGGATAGAACGCCCAGTCCAGTGTTGCATACCCCGACGGTTGCCGGCCCTTGACTGATCGGATGCCGACCAGCCGACTGGTGGGCTGGTGGGCACCTACCGGTCAGGAGTCGTCTGCACCCCACAAAAAAAAAAAAAAAAAAAAAAAACATAATAACCCCACCAACACCCCCATACCCACCCCCAATACCCCATACACCCCCCCAACACCCTCATCCCCCCCCAATACCACCTATACCACCCCATACCCGCCCCCAACCCCCCCTCATCCCCAAAAGTTTCTCAGCGGATTTGGGCTGTACTCAGCAAGCGCAGCACAGCCCCCAACTCAGATTTGAAAAAAAAACAATGGATGGCTGTTTTCTGACTGGTCGGCAGACCGCCGACCTGTCCGCCCTACTGGTCGGCTGCAAAACGGTCGGCGGTTGGGGTCGGCGATCGGCAGGTATGCAACCCTGGCCCAGTCATTGTTACTGCATGTGGACTGAAAGTTGCCCCAAATACAGCTATAACAACCAGGCATTCTTTCGGGTGAGGACGGTAGGACTTTTTCGACTGAGCTCTGGACGTGATTATGGACAGATGCATCAAGGTGTGGCCATAATTGCAGTCAGATACATTTCGGAAAGTGGTAGTGTGAGTATGGCCTTAGAATACCCGGGCCCATGTGGCTCGATTGCTGCGAACAGGTAACTGCTGGTAAACAGATCATGAGTACGAATCTCAATGGAGTAAAAAAGACGGATGACATTTGGATGCACTACCCAAACTGCATTCGTCTGAGGTCTGCAAAGTGGGCTTGAACTTTGAAGTTTGAACGGTACAAAAACACAGGCTCAGACTACCCAGCGCATGTGGCCCTATGGTACACAGTCCTACACACATGTAATTGATAATCAACATGGGTGTGAATCCGAAGGGGGCCCCTTCACGGGAAGGTGGGAAGGGGAGATCGGAGAGGAGGAGTGTGCAATTGTCAGTGTACATGAGTATGCCTCCTGAGGAGACCCGTGTGCGGAACGGCAAGACGGGGGGAGATGGAAGAGGAGAAGCATGTGGTCGTTCGTACTCATCAGTACGAATCCTGAGGGAAGCGGGGATTATCAACATCGGAGATGAAAAGCATGATGCCACCTCAAGATGGGAGAGGAAGAGCATGCCCCCGCCCCTTTCGGAGGCGGGGGTAACTGTGATGCTTATGCGTTCTTGCGCAACTTTTGACATCGCTTCAATCCGAAGAAGAAACGGGAAAGGGGGAACTTTTGAGAGGGGAGGGGAGGGGCATGCCTGTGAGGGGAATTGGGGACAGGATAGATTCTGGGTCCCGTGGTTTTGATGGTGCTCGCCAGGGGCAGGAAGAGGAAGAGGCGGGTGGGGAGGGGTTTGACGCAGTGGGTGGATGATGTGGCACACGCGAAGAAGGGGCGAGGTGGGGGGAAGAGAGGCAGCACTGTCATGGGGATAGCAGAGGGGTAGGAGAAGAAAAGGGTTTAGGGACAAGGGAGGTGG